AGAGCGAAAGAGAATTCGCTCTATATTCATTTGGGTTGGAATACTCCATTAGAATTAAATAAATTAAATTAAAATTTATAGATGCAAGTATTTTTTCTGCTCTTGATATAATAAAGCACCATGTGTAAAGTTTGTAAATTATATATTTATTGTATATATCAATTAATTATTATAATAAATAATATATAATTTTGATTTAAATAATAGTTTTATTATCTCATTCAAAAAATATTTATCTATTTCTTTTTCTTTGTATTATCAAACTATAATATATTATCAGCCAATTATAATTAGGATTACAAGGAAGGAAGGATTGACTCTTAATAAAATTTTATTATATGTTTTCTGGCACTCCCCTTACCCTATATTTACAAGTAAAGAAATATAATATAAAAACCTAAATATGGATTCACCCACAAAATATAAGTTGATATTTGGATAAAATTTTTTTTTTTTTTTTTTATAGTAGAACAGGCATTAGATACTAATCTTTATTGATATATATTGATATCCAGATGGTATATCAAACATTGTCTATAATGCTTTGACTATAGCTTAATGCTAACCTGTCCTATACTATTATTCCATCAATACTAATAAATACTTATTAAGTAAGTTTATATTTCTGGGGGAGACCTATCTAGGAGATAAAAATCCTACCATTAGTTTTAAACCATCTAATCTACTGGTCCAATTTTAGTTAGACATAGAGAAGTTTTGATTAGGGGAGTTGGTCCAAGTGCCTCTTGTCACCTTATCACCTGGATTTTCCAAGCTAGGGCTTCAATCACCAATAAAAATGTCATGCGGGTTTGATAAGATGAAGTAAAATCCAATCTGTACATCCAAATGAGTGGATGGTTCATTACTTCTTTCGGTAGATAACCATCGTGACACCATTCGGACAATCATCACGCCACTGCACCTTAACGAGAAAATCACAATCTTAATGCTTATTGGATCAGTATGTGAAACGACTTTTTATGAGAAACAGCACATGTTTGGTTACGGTGCCAGATACCATATTAATTCTATTCAACCACCTCATATGGAATTGAACCGGTATCTTGTAATCTGACCTGTGGAGCATTAACCACTATGCTATAAACCCACAGGTCTCATATTTGAGTAAAATTTATAATAGACTATAATTAATTTATTTTATAAAGATTGTTAAAGTAATGACAATAAACTTTGGTTTAAATAAAGTCTCATATTTAATACTTGTTTGCAATCAAAAAAAAAAAAAAAAACAATATCTTTTTTTTTTTTTTTTTTTTTTAGGTGAAAGGTACGAGATGTACGGTATTTTTATTGAGTTATTTATATCCAATTACATTACGTTACATCAGAGGTCCATCTAAGCTAATCTATACCTACCACCTATTTCTTAATCCGAGCAGCTTACACCTCATGGGTGGGTTCATACTTGAATTTTTATGGGGCATACTTCATAATCGATATGCTAATCTTCTGTAGATCATCTTGACTTAATCATGCCTTCGCAACCTTTAACATACAAGTTACGTGAGGGTAGTATGCACTTCCTAGTAAATGCTCCGAAAACCTTAGTTGGCATTAGCTACCAAATCTAAGGGCAAGTTTTCCTCTGCCAAGTGGGGCGCAACTCCTGTTACTATTCGTTACTCTCCTAGTAGACACTCCAAGGGTTCGGTTGGCCTAAGCTGCCAAATCTAGGGGCATAAATGCCAAGCAGGGCGCAACTCCTGCATACAAAGCCCTCCCTTGCACATTTTTCATTCCGTTAGCAATCCCTTCCAAGATTTCTTCTACTTTCGTATTAACATATCATGTTCTATTTCTGACCGTGGGTATTTATAGGGGAGAGAGAAAGGGGAACTGGGGGTAGTACCTATTGTGGCGAATAATTTAAATAATTTCTATTATATTATTATATTATATATTTATATTGATTTTTTAAAAAATTTTTAAAAATTTAAAGTGGCTTTACAGATTAGCTATTGAGTTTTAAACTAAATAATTTATTTTATATTTATTATATTTTAAACCTTTGTAATTAAGTTCTTTAATATTAATCCAAATATAAAATCCAATCTTTTGTTTTTTTTTAAATTAAATAAAATATGAATAATTTTATATTAATAATATATAATATTTTTAAATAATATTTTTAATAAGTTTTTAAAGTTCTTTTTAAATTTTTTCATAATTATAGATCAAGTCTTTCTAGTAAATTTTTTAATTTTGAATATATAAAAAGATAATCTTTAATTTTAAACTCTATATTATAGACTTTATAATTATTATATGTTTTATATAATTAAGGCTTTCTTGTTTTAAGTCTATCTAGTATTGATAGCTTATTATATATTAGTTTAATTTAAAAATTTTTCTTTTTGTATTCTTTGTAAAATATAATTAGATTATTTAATTTAAGGTTATTTCAGAATTGCTTTCAAATAAAGTTTTCTTATTAATTAATTTTATAATCAAGTAAATATTATATTTTTTATATTTTAATTTATATTTTTAAATTGAATATTTTATTAATTTTTTGAATAAAATTTCCAAGGTAATAATAATTGTCTTGTTGTATTATATAATAACAGTTTGTATATATTTATTACTTGTTAAAATTCTTATAATAGCTAATAATTAAATAATTTGTTTGATAAGCTAATTTGATATTTGTTATATATATTGTCAAAATATGTTTTAACTTTTTTAAAGCTAAGTTTAATGCTTTTCTTGTTTTGGATTTCAAGAATATTGTATCAGATAAATCAATTATTGATTTTAAGCCATCTTTTATATATTAATTTAAAATTAACTTTAAATATTAAGTTAAAGATATTAATATAATTTTGACTATCTATATAAATATTTTTTCTTTTTCTTTTGAAACTATAAGAAAAACTTTTAGAATTATTATAGTTTCTGCTTTGCTAGATAATAGTCAATCTTGAATTTTATATTGAAAATTGCCAAAAAAATTGATTCTTGAATTTGAATTTAGATAGCATCTATTTTTATTATTTTTTTGTTACTTTATTTAATAAAAATCATTTATAAAAAACTTATATAAACAGATTGTTTAGTTATAGTTTTGAATTATTAAAAACTTATTATTAAGTAAAATTTCTATAAAATTTGTTATGTAATCTTTTGATATAATTATTTGTTTAATTATTTTTTTGTTTCAATCAATTATCTAAACTTTTTATAGTTTTTTTTATTTTGTATAATTAGTTATTATTTTTAAAATAGTGAGTACTTGTTTTTTGAATATGCAGAAATTACAAGAAATTATATTTCTAGAGTTTTATTGTTATTATATATCTATTAATAAATCTTGTAATTTGAGATTCTGTTTGAATATTTTAGATATTTTTTAGATTAAAGATACTTTTATTGTAAATAACATTGTTGAAAATAGTATTACAAACTTTTGCTTTATATTTAAATATTTTTTTATATTATCTTATAAGCTTTTTATATTTTATTTATAGAATATAATAGTTCTGAGTTTTATATTTAATTCTAGAAGTGAGAACTTTATTGAATATACTATATAAAGAACTTGTTTGTTAGTAATTTTTTTGTTTTTGAATATAGATATTATCTTATTAATTTTATATTGAATTTTATATTGAATTTTATAAATTATATTTTTTTTTAAATTTTTACTTTTAATCCAAACTTCTAGAAATTGTATCAAGTCTTGAATTTTTATTATATAAACTAGAACTTGATCTGTTTCTGCTTTAATTAAATTGTTTATTGACTTTCTATATTATTTATATTAAGTAAAACTAATTTAAAACTATATATGTTTCTATATTACTATAAAAGAAAATTTAATCAATAATATAATTTTAAATTAATTATAATTTTTAATTATTTATTATATATTACTTAGTAATTCTACTATAATACAGTTTTTGAAAAATATTTAAATTTAATTTCATATATATATATATTTAAAACTATTAATTTGTAAGTTATTTGCTTTATAAAATTCTTTAATTTTATTTAAAATTTTTTGAAAATTTATTTGAAATAAGATATTCAAATAGTGTTATTAATATACTATAGTTACACTATATAGCTTGAATGTTTTGTTCTTGTTATATAAAATGTCTGGTTTTAAATAAATTATATAATATATTTCAAATTTGAATTTTTTTTAATTTTATAAAATAAAGAATTATAAAAGATTTGTTATAAGAGTAATAAATTAGTGTTTTTTTAATTTATACTATCTCCTGTTATAATTATATTTGTTAAACTATAATCAATTATGATTTTAAAGTTTTTTTCTTAATTTTTAAATATAGTTTTCAAATAATAATAAATGAAAAATTTCAAAAAATTTTTTTAATATAATATATAAATAAAAATAAATAAATTATATTTAAAATTATAATTAGTTACTATAATTAAATTTTTAATTTAAAATAAATATATATTAATTTTCAAAAAAAAATTTTTTTTTTTACACACAATAAATTAAATAAATGATTTTAAATAAAATCCTAAAAAATTTTTTGGTATTCGAATATTCGAATATATGAAATCAATAATATTATTGTAGACACTATTTATCAAGTGATGATCTACGGTGCACATATTTTTTTTTCGTGTTTTTCGAAAGAATTTTTATTATTCATAATTTTTCAATTATTCAACGAATACAGTACAGAATGGCAAGTATTTAATGAAAATCCGTATTCTTTGTCAAGACGTATTATTCGATTTTTAGTAAACTTCACGTTTTTGATAACATAAATAAGAATAGACTAGTACCACAGGCCCTTCACATTCAAGTAAAAAAGTCATAACGAAAGATGAGTGGGTAAAGAAGTTATCGGATGTCAAAATTGACAAAGCGTATGTCAATTATAGTGTGAATTTCATTATGGTTAAAATATAGTCTATATTTTCTTTTTGCTAATGTATCCTCGCAGTTGTCCTAATTTATTCAATTTCTCGTTTACAGAGACCTCAATAAATTAATTATGAATTATTTTGTGATCGAAGGATATAAAGATGCAGCTGAAACATTTAGTCAAGAATGTGGTTTATCACCAAGTATTGATGTTGATTCAATACAAGATCGAATGAATATTCGCAACGCCATTCAAAATGGAAATGTTGAAGAAGCAATTGAACGTGTGAACGATTTAAATCCCGAGGTAATAACGATCAACCATCTTAGTCCGTTTAGACAATGATTAAAACTGTCTCATGCACCACTCTCAGATTCATTATTTGGATCGGTGATGAAACAAATTCACTCAGTCTTCAATATGAGTCTATTATTCAAAACTATACTCACAATTAAGCAACACAGAAGTGCACTCTAAAGAAATACTAACATCATTTGTGTAAATCAATACAGATATTAGATACAAATCCGAAATTATATTTTCACCTTCAACAACAACGTTTGATTGAGTATATTCGTCAAGGAAAGGTGGCGGAAGCTTTAGAATTTGCACAAGATGAATTGGCACCTCGTGGTGAAGAAAATGTAGGTTTTTTGTTGAATTGTGTTTTCATTACAAAACGACATAAAATAACTTGCGTCTACCGATTTAGCCGGAATTTTTGGAAGAATTGGAGCGTACAATGGCGCTACTAGCCTTTGATGATACGGCAGTGTCACCCGTTGGTGACTTACTTCATCCCTCACAACGTCAACGTACTGCCAGCGAACTAAATGCAGCTATATTAACATCCCAAAGTCAGGAAAAAGATCCAAAACTTCCTAGTATGTTGAAAATGTTGGTTTGGGCACAAGATGAGTTGGATGAAAAAGCTTTTTTTCCTAGAATGAAAAATCTTGTTACTGCAGAATTAGTTGAAAGTAATAATACTACAACAAATTCGGCTAATAACTCATTTGTTTCCTCATGATTACAAAAGATGAATATCTTTTCGCAACAACATTCTTTTTCAGTAGTTACAAAAAGTTGATGATTGAGTCAAAATTGTTTCTCGTAAACTCCAATTAGACTGTATATTCTCATAGGTCTTCTTTATACGCAAAATAATTCAGAAAACATGTATATGATTATAATTAACAAATAGTCATTTAAAAGAATAGTATAGTAATTAGACCATTGAGACCTCTCGTTAAAGGACATTTCAGACTATTGTTTTAGTACTTAAAACTTCAAAATCAAATATTAAAAACTCAATCCTTAAAATAAAAGAAATTACCATAAACTTAATATCTTACGATTTTCAACAGTGAAGACATCAATGTTGTTTTAGATATATTTTAATCAATATATTATATGATTAACAACATGATTAGTCGAAATTTATTTAATATCAAATTTGATAAGTAAAACTTATTATTAAAATTACACTTTAGCGTAAAAAAGAATTTAATACAAAGATAATTTTAATATAAAAATATAAATATGGAGAGTTTTTAATCTGTAATCAAACAAATCAAACAAGTATTTATTGTGTTTATTTAATCTTTGGAATAGAAACATAATGGTACCGAAATTTTTATGCATAAATTATTTTTACTACTTGAATACTCACTATTAATACTTAATATTTGATCTTTAGATACAGTCTTGAAAATACTTTCTTTCCTTTATTTAAAAAAAAATTTGAATTTATTGATTGCAATTCATTATTAAGATATAAATTTTTAATATAAATTTTATAATTATAATATATGTTTAATTATTTTTTTGACATATTATTAAGGAATATCTCACTTTTTTAAAAATAAATATATATAATAACTATTGTTTATTTTTATTATTATTATTTTTTTTTTATAATCAACCAAATATTTATTATTTTTATATATGAATTATTTGATCTCTAGACATAATCTTGAAGATTAATAAAGTTGTTTTTTCTTTTTTTCCATTTTAAAAGAATTTAATTAAGTTTATTTTTTTACAGTTTATTATCATGGTCATATAATAATTATTTATTTATAAATTTATTAGATTTTTATAAAGTAATATTTAATTGTTAAGAAAAACAAAAACAAAAATTTCTGTTAATTATTTTTTTATTTAAAAACAACTTTATTAATCTTCAAGATTATGTCTAGAGATTAAAATTAATAATAGATATTCAAATATTCAAATAATTCATATATAAAAATAATAAATATTTGGTTGATTATAAAAAAA